AATTTGAATTGCTGTGACAGCCAAACCACAGACTGTGAGAGCAATATCCAAGCCGTTCATTCTATTTGTATCTATTAGCAAAGCTAGCTCAAATGTTTACCCCTCCTATAGTCCCATGTGTATATATATATATGTACATGTTAAAACACACTCTCTCTCACACACACGCACATATAATATATACATATGATAAACAACTTATTTAAGAATTATGGTGGTCAAGCAATATAAAATTTTCAGTTGTGCAGGGTGGATAAGAAAGCTCTACTCTACCACAGATTTTACGTAGATTGTGCCATTAGGCAGACCACCCTCCCACGAAAAGTACAGGTCACCAAACTATGAGACTTCTTGATCAATAAATAATGTTACTGTATTTTTGAACAAGAATGAACGATGGATGCATTAATGATATTGATAAAAACTTATTTTTATTGTGATTCTAATGAATAAAATCTAATAAGACCTCAGTATTTATAAAGAATAGAATCTCTATTAAGGTGTTTATTTCAAGTATTGAAATTCACACTTGGTAATTTGGTAATCAGATACCAATTGTTAGGAGTGGTTACGGATTGAATCGGATTTCGATATGTTCTGAATGGATTAGAAAAATCTGAATCTGTCACCAATTCGTTATCCCATAGAATGAATCGGATTGGATCCGCAAATTGTGGTTTTTTCTAAATAGTCCAATATTATTTAGTTTTTAACCATAACCTAATAGATAAAATTTCAAGTTATCACCATTAATTCATATATTTAAATGAACATTAACTAATACATTATTATAATCCATTAAATGAATATCAACTAATTAAATTAACTATACATTATTTGAATATATACATATAAAAATCTCACGGATCGGATTTTTAACAGTACAATCTGTAAGTTACGGATTCGATTTTTTGAATCCGCCACCGATTTGTGGGTGTAACAATCTGATCCGATCTGCATGGACCGGATCGAATCGAATTTGCAGATTATTTGCCCATCCCTACCAATAGTCTACTCTAACTTTTTTTTTTTTTTTTTTTTTTCAATAAAAATTACTATGTGAATGCAAATAAGTAAATATTTTTGTATCAAATGGTGTCAAAGGTTAACTTTGCCTTTACTCTCCGTTCCTATGAACCAAAGAAAGACAAACAAACATCTCAATTTCAATTCAAACATGAATTTGATTTACACTCCAATCTTTTGAGAAAATATTTACCCTGTTAAACAGAGTCCCTATTGAAAGAAATGTGTTGAGAGAAGAGTGACATCTATAGAAGCTAAAACAGTATAGAACACTCATCGATATTTTTGTCACTGACAGTATTTCGCAATCACATTTTTATTATTCTTCTAAAAAAAAGAATGTTTATATTGTACTCATGTAATGTATGGTATTTTTCAGTCTCTAAGTGGAAGTATATAGTCTAAAATGGTAGTGGGAGTATGGTTTGCTGTCGCGATATCAGTGGTGGTCGCAAAGTAACCGACTCGAATGAATATTTGTATAAATCACTTACTCCGTTAAATATCTATATAAATCGATCAAATCGATCGATTTATAAAAGTGTATAACGGTTTTTGACCTCTTAAAAAGAATTATAAGCCGGTCAATATATGAACCATAAATGGGAGTGCCTTGCACAATAATATTTGGGGCCCAGAATTTACCACATTTTGGTTGGGAAACATCATCTAACACATATCATACAATACTTAATCGACCTTTAAATAGGGGGTCTCATCTAATGCTGGTCTTTTCTCATATATATATATATATATATAAATATGTTAGAGAGATGTATGTTGAAGAAGGCAAATTATGGTGGATCTCATTGGTGGGTTCTAAAATGAAAAGTTGAGATGCTAATTTTGGACGGTAGAAGATGAGCATCTCTCTATGTGAAGGTTAAATAGGTGAGAGACAGCTGTCTTTGTGCAGTACTGGTTAACAAGAATTTGTACAATAACAAAGTTAAAGGGTTACCTTTGGAAAAAGAAAAAAAAATAAAAAATGCTAAAGGTTAGAAAGGAATGCAAATAATGTTTTGCTTCATATATGTTATAGTAAAATTGCATATTCTTTAAACAAGATGGAAGTTATGTGTAATTAAAACAAATCTAAAAGGAGGTTCAGAATATATGTAGAAAACACAATAACAATGTTGATCCAAACTGATACTCTATACGACAAAAGAAGATGATACAAAAGAATGAAGATTGAGAATGATATGAGATGATGATACAATCAAACACCACCATAGCCACCGTCGCAACTGCAACTGGCGGTGCCGGAGCTTGCGTTGCCGTGGGGGCGAGGTTTGGTGCTGAGGCAACAACACATGAGACCTAACAATACCATGAAACCCCAAGCTGAGGCCAAGGCTTGTATCCAACTCAACGAAAACCCCATCTTAATTAATTTGTTCTGATGCTGATGCTTTATCACTTTTCTGCTTCACCTTTCATCATCATCACTTTAACACGGCCTTGGTGGTATCAGCTCTCTCCAGAGAGAGAGAGAGAGAATGAGAAATAGGGGTGCACATGGACTGAGCTAGAAAGAGGCCTTAATAACATGGGCCAGCCTGTGAAACCAACTGCTAGAAGTAGCATACTCCCTGTCAAATTTTAAAATGCCACACTTTTTCTTTTTTTTTAATTTAAGTTTTTCCAAAGGTAAATATTATTTTGGAGGCATCCAATAAGGGAAGGGTTAATTGGTCATTGTGGCTCGGATACACAATTCATGCTCATGCTAATTAAGAAAAAAAATATTATAATTGATTATATTGTGATGAAGTGGTGGACTCTACACACTGTATTTTTTTTTTTATCTTTTCTTAGTGGTAGACTTCACACACTCTTTTCTATCTTTTGTTTGATAATTGAAACATTGTTCATTAATAAAACATGAACAATTCCGATTTCATTCATTAGAATTTAAATAAATAGTTTTGACTTGCTAATCGTATGTCTAATAAATTTTCTTTTTTTTTTTGTTTATTATTATTATTATTATTATTATTATTATTTTGTACTTGTGAAAAAACAATTTTTTTTTGGGAGGAGTAACCATTTATTGATGGTAGTAATAAAGTATAATGAAAAAAAAATAAAATTATATCATTATATATTACCACCCATGAGTTAACAACTTAGTCAAGCAGGTATATGAACAAGCCATAGTCAAACTTGAGTTTAATTCTCTAAAACTTGTCCCAAGTACAAGCATTGACAGGTGAACTGGTTAAGTTCAAAATGTCTGGAATTAAGATTAAGTATTCAACTCCTTGGAGATTTATTAGATGCAATATTAGGTAAATAGTGAAGTATTGTATTTGTTGAGTATTAAGTATTTTGATTCATACTCTTGATCAGCAAATTTTTTATTTAATTTTTATAAATGGTAAAACAAACACACATTCAGTTAATTTTTAAAGAGGGAGAGTTTATACCATTTAAATAAGACTATTAAATCATCCTCCGTATCTAATTATATCACAAAAAGTCCCCATCTGATATTATTCTCCAAGCTCACGTTTTGTAATCACATCATTGTATAAGAAAAATTATTTATAGCATAAACAATGTTAAAAAAGAATCTTATCATCATTGTGGCATGTAATGGTTGTCTCTGCTCCGTTTTTTATTGTTTTGAAGCAAAATTACTTTAATTATGTTACTAACTTACTCGATTCATCTAATAGTTAACCCAAAACCATTATTATCATATTATTTATATTCTCCATATAAAAAAATTTATCTTGTCCCATGCCGCGTTATTAGCACGACGCTCTAACCAACTGAGCTAATGGGCCATTTTTGTTTCTGAATTCGTGCATTAGTTATAAAAAATCTACCATCTTAAATAAACCCAATTTATTTTTCCTTAATAAACCAATTTCATCAATAAACCCAATTCAATCAATAAACCCAATTCACTTTTTCTATTTTAATTCTATTTAATTCTGCTTGACAACAAAATCAAAATTTTCAGCTAACTAAGATTTAATTTTTCTCAATACAATAGTTTTGCACACTCTCTTAGTCTCACACTCTTCACCAATTTATAAGCATTCAATGTATTAACAATTTACTAGAATTATCTCAATATTTCTTTACAAAAGTATATAAGATACTTATAACTTTACAAAATTCACAACTTTTTTCCTCATCATCTCTACAGGTGAAAGACTCTGGAATCCAAATTTTTAATGTAGACTGGTATCGTGACATATTTTCACCTGATGATAATTCATTTTTTTTTTTAAATAAAAAGAATCGCTTGATAAAAAAAAAAAAACTAGCCTTGTATCAAAAAAATTTAGAATAATATTTTACCTTGATAATAAACTATCAATATATATATATATATATAAAGGTCATCAAACTTAAAATTAGATTACTTATAACGGCCATAGGAGTTTATTAATTTTACGGATCAATTAGTAACTGGTCACCTCCATAGACAATATAAAAAAAGAAGTGTAGCGATGTGAAGAGTTCCAGTCCGACTCTGTCGAAATTGAAATGATGCTCACATTTTGGTGTACATAAGCCATCGCACCGGTTTTTAAGGTTTTATGTAAAGTATAAATTAGTGATAATTACTACAAATAAAAAATATACATGTATATGAAAGAGAATATATTTCATAGTAAATCTTTTTTAAAATTCTAGAAGTGATAAAACCAAAGAGTAAAATACTAAATATTATATTTAAAAACCATCCAAAGGGTAAACCAATTATATCTCCTCTCATTTCAATATAAAAAGTATAGGGTTCTAAGTCCCTCCAAGAGAATTGCGGAGGTTATTTGTTAGAAAGAATATATATATATATATAAAAGAATTCTTAGATTAAACTCTATATTTGAAGAGTGAAACTTTATATAAGAAATGTTTGATTTATACAAAGGTGATATAAATGAAGTGACGAATGTAATTTATGCGTATATTAAGGGTCTGAAATTTGTACTGGTAGAAAGAAATTGATGGGATTCATAATCAACCTTATAAATGAAATCAACGTCTTTGAGCTACAATATTCAAAAAGTAACAAACTTTTCCCTCTAACAAATATTATATAACAAATAAAAAACTACACACTTTAAATAGTAGTTTAGATTTAGATAGATAGATTGGACGACAAAGGCAACAGTTATTTTGCTAAAACAAAATTTCCTGACAATTTACAACCCGATAACCATCTGCTAAGTTCCGTCACCAGTGATTTTAACGTCACAGCCAAAGAAAATGAATCCATTGCAGCAGCAGCAGCAATAGGAAAAATCCCCACTTAGAACAGTTGCATTAGCTTCAGACCGATCAAGAAACTGCCCTAAACAGAGAAAAAACACATACTCAGTACAACCATAAAGCATAAGAACAGTGATAATAATCAACAATACGTTTAAGAATCAAAATCAGTACCCCCGACTTCTGAAGCTTCTCAACCCTGGTAAATGAGATACTTAACCACTCTAGATTGTATAATAAAGAACAGACACAAGTACCGCACCATCTTGACAAACCTTGCTTATAAAAGAGACGAAGAAACATAACTCCCGACTGCTAAGTTACAGTCATTATTAATCTTCATCTGTCTTCTACAAGGCAGTTTCATCAAGATGGATGTCAATCCAAGAAAATGAGATGCATCCTATAGATAGTATATAATCATAAATCCTTGTTCTAATACATATTGATGTGTGATTTATCATGCCAAATGGAAGCAACACAAGTAAAGAGGGAGACATTTTCTCAAGAAATCAAAATAAAAGTACATAGCCTTAATAAGAAAAGCAAGGGAATAGACGAATCCCAAAACATTATCAGTTTCATCTCACTCCAATACTCCATGCTACCCATCTATTAAGACAAAAGGAAATCCTTGTATTCTAGCAGATATGGAGGATTGATCCAATAAAAGGAAAATATGTGGCACAAACTACAAACATGAAGATACACTAATTCTATCAGTATCAACCACCCATATATTCTCATCCTTTTATTCGAGACAACTGATTGAAGAATACACTGAAAATAAAGGTCAAAAGTACTACACAATTTCTCAGCATTCTCAAAGGCAATAGTACGAAGGAAACCGCACTGACACTCGGTTCTTCTCCCCTACCTTTTTGTTTGGGAATAAGGTTGGGGATTTGGCAGTTGTGGATTGTGGGTGTGGATATCATGTATTTTTAAGTAGGCTTATGCCCAATCCCTTTTTAGATCAGTTTTTACGTTATCTTGGCTCCGAGGGTTTCTGATATTAGAATAGAGCTGTTACAATTTAATCCATTCACGTTACTCTAAAGATAGCTTCATATGCCATCTCTACACAAGTAACATTTAAATCAAGGATAAATCACCATCAAGGGTGAGACTTAATAAGACAAATCCAAATATTTAACTCACACACGCTGCCTGACTTAAATACCCTTCCAAATCAAAAGGAACTTCTAATTTTAAAAATTATGAATCTAAAATAAACTTTTGAATCAAAAGAAATTTCTCAGTTAAAATATTCTTTAGAAAATTATTTACCATGTAGCTTTTGATGCTAATAGTCACACTTACAAAAGACACATGTTCCAAACCCCTAGCATCCAAGTCATTAATCTAGTCAAGGACTCAAGAACAAAATTCAATTTTTTTTAAAATTTTCTTACACTTTAGAAAACACAGATATTATCCAAGAATGGGTGCCGAATAATACCCAAAACTGCATGCTAAATAATAAGGCCTCATCCGACATCTGCAAATCCTAATTACACCGAATCTCATTAACTTTCCAACAAATAGTCCTAGTTTCAGTTAGGCAAGTAAGTTTGTCACTGACTTTCCCAAAAATAAAAAATAAAAGAAGCAAGATCTGGACAGATCCCTCCCTAACTTTCATATGGACAAACTATATCATTTTATGTCATGAAACTCCAGAAAGTGAATCCATAAACAGAGAACCCAAATGCAAGAATAGTAACCACCCAAGAATGGTGGAAAAAGCATGTAAACACTTATGACAAGTAATAAGTAAAAGAAGAGATGGAAGCTTGAAAAAAAAAAAAAAATTTATTTAAAAAAATTGTACAGAAAGGTTACTGAAATCCAAATAGAATACAAGGATCAAGCCCAAGTTATTCACATCCAATAAATTCCCCTTACCAAGCCAAAGAAGAAAATATAGTTACTCTCTTTCAATAAACTCCGTGGAAGCTACAGCTCACTATAATTTCGCCAAACTGCCCGAAATTCCTCACGGAATGTGTTTAGACGTGCCTTCAAATTAGGTGTTCTGAAGCTAGCATGGATGATAGTGGCTGAGATAGAGATAGAGAAAGAGAGAGAATCAGTTAGAAAAAAGTACATTAATGTCAACAAGCAAACTTGACAATGTCATGAGATACTGAGGGCATAACATACCAAGAAGGCCAACGGCAAATGCCCATAGGACGCTTAAGAGGCCACAAGAAACAAACCAAAGGATGAAACTTACTACAATAAAGTGGAAAGGAGAAAATACAGTCGGTCAATATTTATAAAAGAAAACCAACATTTCTATCATAAAGTGGAATTAAACAAATTTTTTTCAAACCCATACCAGAAGAGAATATAAAGATGAACACCCAACGAGGCCGTCCGCATATAAAAATTGATCTTTTAGCTGATGGGCGCCCTCGAATAACAGGCCTAGAAATTCCAAGAAGTTATTCAAGCACCAATACTAAAGGCCTTGAAAGTACAATAAAAGGAAACAAACTTACGTTAGAGGAGGCCTCATCTTTGCAGCTAAATGTGGAGAAAACTGCCTAACAGTTCTTGTTACCTTTTCACTAAAAGTACCTGCAAAGCTGTAGCACCAATCCTTAGTGAACATGATGGGCAAACTGACAGGATGGTTAGGAGAAAAATTGAAGTATCGTACAATGGTTACGCTATTGCATATGTACATGTTTGTGCGCTTGTGCAAGTGAGATAGCGATTAAAAGGTTCAATTCTCATTCCACTATGAATGATGCACAAGAAACCCAACGGATCATATTGAACTCTTCAGGTCATGTTAATCAAGTTGACAATACATTCTCCAATATACTATAATATACAACATCACTTTCATACTTTCACATATATTAAGCAACTTAAGGCCACCCCACCAGTACCATTACAGCTAGAAGCCAAAACAGCATGGTGTTGCAGGCCCATTTGTATTGTTATCCCTTTTCCCCTTATGATGGAATTTAGAAGATTAAAAATCATATAGAGATAATTTAGGTGGAAAAGACAAACAGTCATCTTAATAAATACCAGCTTCCATAAGTAACATACATTCACTTAATAATTACAAATTGGTCAAGTTATAGTCTTCTTAAGATTTCCAAATAGATAAAAAACAGTAAAGCTGGCATAGTACAATCACTTTGATAGGTATTTTCCCAGAACCTTTCCCTCCTCTTCATGTTACATGTAATTGTTAATCCATGAAACCTGCACGCACTTCCTTGTTGAATATAGAGCAAGTGTACAAAATTAGTATTTATGCAACCCTATTACTATTAAATTCAGAGAAAAACAAAAAAAATGACCGATTTTGGGGACGCGTTCCCCTTTTGAACGTTTTCTAATACATATTTACTTATCAAAAAAAAAATTCAGAGAAAAACAACATAGCCATACCCTGATGAAATTCAAAGGAAAACAGAAGGAGACAGAGAATGATTTATAATATTTATTTTAGGGCTTGGAAGGTTGCGGTGGGGGAGCTTTGACAGGGTAGTATTACCCATCATAAACATTCCTAAAAAATTATCTATAATTTTTTTAATATAAGAATAGACAGCATGTAAATAAAAAACAAAAAACAAAACTTTTTTTCCTAGTTGGTACTCAACACACAGTTGTCTCTTCTGAGACTTGAACCCTTGACCTCCCTTTGGAAAGTAAGAGACTGATACCGCTAGGCCTTGCCCGTTGGTAAAAAACAAAACTTGCTTCTCATAATTATTTAGGTTATAATTTACCATGACAAATAATACTATAAAGATCTCTTAACATGATTTTCATGACCACAACAGCCTTTGCACAATCAACCTCCTCTACCCCAACCCCATTTCATCTAGCAGGGAACCCTCTTTGATTGTAATTTTAAGTTGTGGACGTGATGGTGGTGTAACGAATGCAGGGTGTAATGGGTGTTACATAAACATTATAAAAAATCAGAGTCATGAAATATTCTCGACCTTATACACCATCATATGCGCTGACTTGGTTAAGTCATAAGAGAATTAGCCAAGTCCCTAGGGAGTACGGACACAGACTAGACTCGGCCAAGAGTTGATCGAGTCTGATGTGACTTCAATTCCCACCGATATATTGGCAAGTATTGGCACAGAATTGGCCGAGTCCATTGGCCAACACGCAAAGACTTGGCCGAGTTTCAAAACCGTGTCTCAAACTGCATCCTCAAACAGCGATGAACCTTATATTTTATCGTATACACTATAAATAATATGAGAAAATAATCTTATCCTAATCATCTATATTATTTTCTCAAGCCATTCTTCTATAGGAACATGACTTTAAATGCCTAAGCAATGGGCGCTGAGGAGACCTCACTGCATATCCACCTAGTTAGCAACTATAATAGCATGCACCACCTTGTTCCATTGTACCACTGTGAAGCCTAGGCACATAAAATGTGGCCCTCCATATACAATGTGTGACTATTGATGCATTTTGTGTATACAGTAATGTCATAGCTCCAGCGACAGCACACCATAAGCTGGCTGACTAGGATTCTAGAGGTACTTGATGCTGTCGTTGAAATCCAGGGCTTGTCGAGGCGACCACCCTTGTGGTCTGTACACACTTCTTGAAGTTGTTTGACACTTCTGCAGTACTTTCAGTCAACCCTTTTAAGTTTATCAAATAGAAATAATCAGACTTATTGTTTGTGACTATCAAGGATAAATCATTTGTAATTCATTAATTATTTGTTGCCTCCCTAAGAAAAGCATGGCTCCAGATTGGCTGTCACTAACACAACAAACAACAACAATATTAAATTCAAATTCACCAGCATCACCATCAGATCCACCTATACCAGTAGGACTGCCGGAAAATGCTTTTTTCTAATTACTTACTCTTTGGGGACTTACAACTCTATATAACATATAACATATAACAATATATATATATATATTATATTATATAAACTAGGGAAAAAAAAATATTCATATACATAAAAAATATTTTAAATATTTAATTAAATATTGGCAGATGCTAAAATTTTCCCTTAATTACTCCAAATTTGTTGTGCTTAGCGGATAATTCTAGCAGGGCGTCAATTATTTGAAAATTTTCTATGCGTAGAATGCACAAATAATTTCCTTAATAATTTTGCAAATGCCAAAAATATACACACTGCAAACCAGCTAGAGCAGACAAATGTATGAAGCAGAGGATATAAGAATGGGACATAACTTGTTGCTCTCATCAAACATATTGTTATATTAAAGGAAGTCACAACCAAAACCATGGTCATACGTCCAGAGTCTTATATCAAGTATCATCTTGTGGCTTGGAAGACGGTATGTGCCCCTTTGCATTATAGGGGCCTTTGAGTGACGATGTTCAGATTGTTTAATCAAATCTTGTTTGGGAAATATTAGTGAAGATTTGCCAAGGTAATCAATGATCTTGGGAGAAGGCAATGAAGGGGCAATTCTGGAGTATTATTAACATTAAGGGTGGACCTCAAGGGAGGAATTTTATTTTACAGGCCAAGTGTAGAAGGCATTGGGAGCAGGCGGAGTGAGTTCCCTAAATTTCTCAGTTTTGTAGGGGAGAAAAATTATTGTGAGATTCTAATCCATTCAGCCAGGGAAGTGTCCCTGAAAGCCTTATTCCCAGGACTTTTCATAACTGAATAATACGGAAAGGCACTTATTTATTACAGGTCAAGTCAGGTTTTGAGTGAAGTTGATGGGAGACCCGATCTTTAAGAGCTCTTTGAGACTGGTGGTTAGACTCTGCTATTAATTTCCTCAGAATCTTGTACACTTTTTCTATGTTTGGAGTGAGGTCGTCTCACAAGGGCATTTGTTGGTCAGACATGCCAGGATTCCCTTAAAAAGGTATTTGACATCTGACTTTTGAATATCTTGTTGTCCTCTATCTAGACTACTGCCATAGAGGATAGCTACAAACAATTTGGGAAGGATGGGAATATTCATGCCTAGTTGGTCTGCATCTATAAGAGGGGCTGAAAGGAGAACACTAAACATATTTCCACCATTGTTTGGGAGGCTGGTAGCTCAAGAGTTGTTTATATGGTTTTCTCAGCCTGGAAGGCTAAAGGTTATGCCTAGACTTGTCACCTGCAGATTCTCTTCTTGAATGCTGCAAGGAGGCTGCAGTAGTAAGACAGATTGTCAGGCTTGCCAACTGATGCTTTTATGTCTGATATAGAGTGTTTAGTAGAAGTGAGATAGGCACACCTTTGAGGATGTGGAGATCTATGGTCATAGGCTTAAGAGAGCTATGTCGGATAATTTCCATTTTAGGATATCTGGAGGATTTCCGAACTCTTCAAACCTTTTTTATGACTTTTTAGAAATTTGAGTTGTATAGGAGTCTATTTTATCAACTCTTACATACTTTGAAAAAGAATAGTACTATTCATGCCCCTGTTCTCTTTTTGGGTCATTATCAGTAAACCAGTGAGTCTTATAACAATCCAGAGATTCAAGAACTAAAAATTTGCTCCCAGTTTACAAAATATGTTGTTTAAGAAATTCAAAAGAGAAACATGTTCAAATGCTTAACAAATTCCAAGAAATGAAATGTTAACATATACAAAACCCTACAATAGAATTATTCTTCTACCAAAAAATCAATAATTCAGACCATTCAGATTAGTTCAAGTTCAGGCTTCCCATGCATAATAACAAAATAACACAACAGGCATCTCTAAAAACAGAAACAACACAACAGATGTTAAACAACATACCTGTCGTTTAGAAAAGCTATGGTAAGAGCTGTCAATCCGGCAGCAACAATGGCAAGCGGCCTCCTAAGAAATCCCAATCCTGCAATTGCCAACGCACACTCATACTAACACAAACACATGCATATAAATTGAACATTAGAAACGGGAAACTGAAGTTTTAAGGGTTCCCTTACCAAGAATGAATACCATCATGATGAAGTAATTTGTCCGATAACTGCAAACACAAAAAAAGAGTTTCAAAGCAAATAAAGCCACTTATAATTCCAAAATAAACCTAATCTACCGTTCGGTTTGTAAGAAAATGGAGGAAATTTTGTGAAGCATAAATTAAATATCGTAAAAAAATATAGCAAAATATCTAACCAAAAAAAAAAAAAAAAAAAAAAAAAAAGGTATACTGAGATCAATACTATGTGAGAAACTTATTGAGCTAGCAATCCGTTTCTAAGAACCAAAAGAAGACAAAATTGATCGATCCTAATCAACTCAAAAGAAAATTGCATTCATAAACATATATATGATGGCGATTGTATTGGAGAGAGGGATAGAGGAACGTACTAGTAGAGATTACACTTGAGGCGACTGTTCCATTTGGAGTAGGATCTGGGGACGGTGAATCTGGAGAAGAATTCAGAGAGAGGCCGAGGAGGCGATGACCAGTCGACCTCGCGTAGGGCTTCGATCAGATCTTCTGAGGTCACGTTGCCCCAATCCATTTGACAGATAGACGAAACCCTAGAAATCTATTGGTCAATTCGAGGAAGACGATGGACGCGTACGAAAGTCGATGAAGAAAAAGAAAAGAACGTGAGCACAGAAAGCTAAGAAGATCACAGGTTCTCTAATTGTGCGGTGTTCTAATGATGCGAATAAGAAAATTAAATACAGCGACAGACTACATGGTAGTGAGTCTAAAAAGTCAATATTTGTCTGAGCCCGGGTTCGAACCGGGGACCTCTAGTGTGTGAGACTAGCGTGATAACCAACTACACCACCCAGACGATTTTGTTAAGGGGCCTCTCCGAATAGATATTGAACTAAGGTCACAAAAGTATATATCAATTTTTTTAAGCAATTTATTTATTTTTACTGTTTCATTTATTTCAATGTCCAACATCACTTTGGTGTGGGTGAGACAATTGTTATACATAGATTTAACACTTTTTTATGACACACATTTTAAAATCGTGATGGTCGTAAATCTATCAGAACTTTAACCAGGAGTAGTGCCAACATAAGTAACCCTTGGGAAGTCTCTGATTTGGAGGAAAAAAAAAACGAACAATATTATATCTAAATAGAGTGAGGGTCGTTAGATCTTTCACCTCTTGAGTTGCCATCTAGCCCATCTTTCTCTCTCCCTCTTCTTTTGGGTTTAATTTTGAATACCATGTGGTCTAATGAATCAACTTGCCCAATAGATGATTCATTTAACTTTTCACATATATTGTAAACTGTCTCAATTTAATAGTTAATTAAAGCGAAATCCATGTCTTTTGTTAGAGAGTTGTCATAATAGAAATCATATTGGGTTGAATGACATATGTGCCTTTTAACTAGTTGTATTATTTACTCAATAATTGAGAAACTAAAAGACTATTTTTCAGAGAATATTTTTTTACTTTCATCTAACTAAAATTATATTACGGTGAATGACATGGCATGTGTGCCTTTTGATTAGTTATATTATTTACTCAATAATTGAGAAACTAAAGAGCTATTTTCCAGAGAATAATTTTTTACTTTCAGACTCGAAATACAAAACTCAGTTAAAAAATACTCTCTTTTTTTCACTGGGCCAAACATATATATATATATATATATATATATATATATATATATATATATATATATTGTTTTTATAAAACAGTTCTTACAGTTTTCTGGAAACAATCTTTATTATTATGTATTTCTGACAATCATTTTTTAAGAAAACTAAACTAAATAATTAACTTGTAACTGTATCAATTCCACCTCTCATCTATCTTATATCATCAGTCAATTAACTTATCGGATTCTTATTGTTCTATCGGAGTGTGTATTTGGTACTTTTGGTGAGGCCAAGAGGAAAGAGGACCTAAGAAACTTTATAGAAAATCTTAAATAATTTCATACAGTTTCTTCTTTCAAGTATATTTGTTCACACGAAATTTGGCTCACACAGTTGATAGAGTTTATGGGCGTGCCAAAATGTGTATAACTCAAAATTGTGAATATCAACTATTCTTTTTAAATTGGTGGCTGACTTGAGACGGTTTTGCCAGAAATAATAGAAAGAACTCTCAGGAAGTTCTTTTTTTACCTTAAATGTAAGGATCTAAAAGAATCAATATAAAAAGTAAAGTGCAATGAAAGAAATTAACTTGCAGAATTAGCAAATTTAAATAAAAATGGTCATTGGGTTTGATTTTGATAAAATAGGAAGTAATAACATAATTAATCATTGAACAATGATGATTGATGAGTGACCTAGAGTCACTTTGTTGTGCTTGTTTTTTGGGTGGTCCACCTGAAATGGTTCACATCTTCCTTCATTTATTAAAGTTTTCCATATCTGAAATGTCTTCTTTCCTCACAAAAAAAAAAAATATATATATATATATATATATATTTTAAATTCAAACTAGGTCAATATTTGCCTTCACGTTAGCTCATTGGAGCTTTCCTTCTTTAACTAAACTTTCTTTTTTGTAGGAGTTATCTGTCTCTAATTGCCTTCACGTTAGCTCATGTTGACCAGGCCAGCTCTTTAAGCCACAACCATAGCAGCCTTTTCTTCTAAAGTTGGCAGACGCGTCCGCTCTTGTCCATGTGTCATTTTCTCATTCGTTTCATATTTTCACGCCTCCAATCCCATGGCGGCAATGTCAATAATATTTCGTTGCCTAGATGACTGTCAAGGTTCGGTGTCAACAATATTCTCATTCATTCATAATAATAATAATAATAATAAAATAAAATAAAATAAAAACTTGTTTAACAATCCCCTAAAGTGGTTTGCAAAAAGAAAAAAAAAATGAGAAAGTTATTAAATGGGGATATCTTATTGTTGAGATTTTTTTATTTCTGTTATAATGATGGACGATTCAAGTGTGACAAATTTCCCATCAAAATAACTAAATAGAAAAGGACTTTTAGTCTTTTTCCTGGTTTTAACGCTCTTTGATTGGATTGTGCTGCAAAAATGGAATGTGGGCGAAATTTACTGTAGACTATAAAAGGACACCATACTTGACTTTGACATTTTAATGGAGTAACCTAAAATCCTATTAAAATTCTTTGGTGTTTCTTCATGTGGGAACGTAAGACTTCCAAAACGTAATGTTGATGATGTAAGTCTTTAATGATTATCTTGGTTGGTTTGGCTCAATTTATATAAAAAGATAAAGTTCACAAATAAGACTAATATTGTTGGGATTTATATGTTCTGGAATAGCAAATTTCTATCTGAATTATAATGACATATATTCCTAACGTTTCTGAAATATTTATGTTTTATACCATTGGTGAATTCAATGTATTATGTTTCGATTCATTATAGATATGTATGTGATGGCAATCAATGCATGATATATAAATAGTAATCATAAATTATTCATAGTCAGTAATTATGGATGGACTCATAATTAATTAAGACTTGAACTGGATCCGCGTTAGGTTGAGATATATTGCGAGAGCCGTCGTATGCAATTGCTCCCTATCACCGTCATGGCATTTGACTCTTAAGCATGAGAAAAATATAAACTCTTTTATTAATTAATAATTACTTTGATTTGTTCGGCGGATTCTTCAGGATCCTTAGACCGACACTTTGGGTAGTTATGTAATTAATAATTAGAGGGTTATATTTTCAATATTTGCATCATTAATACTTGTATTTATTTTGTATTGATTATGGTTTTTAGACAAAATGATTTATTATATATTTATTTATTTAAATTATTATTTTTGTCAAACAAATATTTTATTGTGATCGAACCAGAAATAATCAAAGGTACCAAAATAAATATATTAATTAAGTAGTCGGATTGATGGCTTTATTTATCCGATAACTAATTATGCATAGAGGGGTCAAAGTGTAATATTGACTTAGAGGTTATTTATTATTTAATTGGAGTTCAATTAATTTCTTTTAGTGGAGTAGAAATTAATTTATGAATTAATTGAATTGGGTCCATGGATCGGGTCAATTATTAATTCATTGTAGCCAATAAAATAATAAGCCCAATGGATTCTCACTCATAACCCAACTTGATATTGGAATCATATTAGATTTGAAACATGTGAATTAGAGATTGAGAAGGATTTGTTGTTTTCTTTTCTTTACCTTTATGTTACCTATAAATATACATGGTCTATGAATATTTTAGGGGTGATTTTTGGAAGAAGGAAAAAGGAATAAATTTTTTCTCTTTAAAAAATTAGGGTTAGTGTTCTCATCTAATGGAGGCTCCCACAAGTCTAATTTTCCAAGGTCATTCATGGAGGCTTATGAGTGATTCCTAAAGGTAAGACCATTACCAAGAAGATGGAGATTCATGAAAAAGGTGTCTAGCAAAAGGGATCTACAATAAGTGAGAACATTCACTTTAAAGGAGAGATCTAAGGTTTACTCAAACCTTGATGTAAATATTCAATCTTTTAATTGAATGATACATCATGTTTTATTTTTGCATAAAACTTGTCTCTATGTGATGAATCAAGATCTATGAGTTAAAATCCCTCGAAAAGTTTTTAAAACTAGCACGTTTCCCAACAGTGGTATCAGAGTACGGTTTGATTCATTACTAGAGATCACGTTTTTATGAAATTCATCATCATGGATCCAAATTATATATATATATATATATATATATATATATATATATATATATATATATTGATGTATGATTTAATATATTGATACATGATGATGTATGTATAATTGTGAATGGATGATGATGTGTGTTTGGGCCATGGATGAAGCTTATAGGTTTATTGAATGTAATTTTATTTTTGGATGAATGTAATTAAGGTTTTGATTTAGCCATTTGAAAGTTCAATGATATAATTTAATTTTTTTCATTGTATTTCAAATTGTAAATATTTTTAAAGCCATGTAATTTTCATCAAAGGATGCTATGAAGCTTCAAGAGGGTCCAAAAGGGTTAAATTATGTTTCAGTAATTTTCTGGAATTTTTTTCGATTTTTTTGAAATTTTTCTAGAATTTTTTGAGGCTTAATTTAATTTTCTGGGAATTTCTCTGATTTTTTTGGAATTTTTCGGCGTTTTTCCGGTGGCCGAAGCTTCGCCGGCGGCGAGAAAAGGCATCGGAGGAGGCTGGAATCACATGCTTCGCACCAAATGGTGAGGAGGTAGCAGGCGCATGACATGCTGGCGCGTGGAAGCGCGTCCCAGCGCGTGGGGGCGCGTGCATTCACCTGCTGCATGCCCCCGGCGCGTTCCGAACGCTTTTTTCTTCTCCAGGCTCATACCAGCTCCTTACAGGTGTTTACATGTCGGTGGTGGGCCCTCGCGCAATACTTAGAGTAATTAAATGTTAAAAGCTGAATCCATTGGCCATTTAAATTGCTTCTGTCTGTTATTTATTTATTTAACTGATGCATGGAATAATTAATTGTTTATTATTATTGTTCATGCATTGGATCCATTATATTTAATTAAATGACTTGATTTATATTAATTAAATTATGAAAATTAATTGGATTTGATTACTAATTAATTTGAGGGCACTTATTGGGAAACGAAAAATTATTTTTTTGTAAATTATTTTTGTGCCTCAAATTAAATATTAGTGAATCATTTAAAGTCCAAATATTTTCTAAATTTAATTGGATTAAAATCAAGGCGTTTTGCATGCATTAT